CACACGCGCGCGCACACACACACACAATCGTAGGAATGCATTGTATGGCCGTAAAGAGAAGTACGCACTAATATACATGTAAAAAATATGCATGTACTTTATAGAAAAAATATTGACAGTATTGTTTGTCTGTTTGTTTTTGGGTTTTTTACGTCACATCGACACAGTACAGGTCATATCGCGAGGTTCCAGCTTAACTGGTGGAGGAAGACCTTACGTACCCTTCCGTGCATTATTTCAGGCACGAACGGGCACCTGAGTAGAACCACCGACGTTCCGTAAGCTAGCTGGATAGCTTTCTCACATGAAAGAATCCAAAGTCCCTGTCGGGATTCGAACCCCAGCGGTGAGGGGCAAGAGGTTTGAAGTCAACGACCTTAACCACTCGGCCACTTATTGACAGTAAAGGCTAAATAAAAAAAATGTAATTTAATGGAATTCATAAATGTGCGATTAATATCAGAAGTATATATTTACTAGTAAGCTATAAAACAAAACGCCATCAGTTACTTTAGCCAATTACATGTATGAAATGAGCCGCGCCATTACAAAACCAACATAATGGCTTTGTGACCAGATAGAACCCAGACCAGCCTGCGCATCCGCGCAGTCTGATCAGGATCCATGCTGTTCGCTATCAGTTTCTCTACTTGTAAAAGAGTCGGTAAGCGAACAGCATGGATCCTGATCAGACTGCGCGGATGCTCAGGCTGGTCTGGATCCATGCTTGTGGCAAACGCACTATCTTAGTTTTGTCGTGACGCGGCTCAAATGGTCTTATTTAATGACAAAATAATTTCTCTAATTAATCAGGCAAGTTTTACATATACCACGTGCGAAACATCGATTTAATGATAAAATAAGTCTTCAAATTAGAGCATAATTTTCAAGCATTAGCAACTTCTATCATAGTCGACATAATACAAGATGTCATTGAGTTTCCTTTTTATCTACTTATTTCGTACACACAAAGCTTGATTTAGTAGTTAATTTTAATCAGATTTTCTCCATTTTGTTTCATTTTTCTATTTTACCACGAGGAAAATAGACGCACGTTTAAAATACCTACATCTTGATGCAGTTACGGGGTCACTTCATATATTATTAATATATTATTAATATATTATTATTAGATTTAATTTTAGTTCTAAAGTGTCGAGACTATGATTTTGAATACTAAAAATGCATCATTAAAACATTATTCAAAATTTTACATACTATTAATGAGTAAATGTTTTCTCAGTAAGAATGGAAATACACACATTGCAATTTAGTTTTCTGGCTTGCGATTGTCGCAAGACCTTAGTGATTAAAACCATATTTTGCAAATCCTGCATTGTATTCATTCTGTTTTTCGTAATTTCAAGACACGTATATACCACCTTAAGCTTTTGTGTCAATCTTGTTTTTTTAGGTAGAATGAGTTTATGTATTTTTGCAGATTCTTTTATATCATAAATGAAAGAAATAAAAACTAGTGGTTATAAAAATGTAATAATATATCGTCTATCTGCATGTATATGCTATGAAATATGTAAAGCCAGAACATATGCTATAAAGTCGAACCTAACCATAGTTTTGATAACACGAAAATAATTATCTATACCCAAAAAATTTTATTAATGATAGTTCGTAATTAGATAGCAGTGAAGAAACACACGTATACGGTAAATTTGAGCTGCTGTAAAGAAGCTATCACAGTCTAAACTGATTTTCAAAACAAAAGATACACTTAGTTTTTTCTCTAAAATTCAAGTTATTAATATTCCCCGCAGTACATACTATATTTTCTGTCTATTAAGTGTCTTTAATGAGGAAACCGATGTCATTACTGTACAAAGACATATTTGTGAGTGATACATAAACTAATAGATAGCCAGCCCATTCTTTCTTATATATTTTGAATACTGGTCAAAATTGTGTGCTTTTACAGAATGAGATTATTTTGCTTTATGCAACTATACGAGTATACTGTAAACCTTTAAACATCCAAGAAAATGAATTTTTAATTATCTACAATGAAACAGATAAAGAAATTAATATATAACTTTATTGGCTTTTTTAAGCACATTCGTTATAACATGTATTTCTGCTTTTAAATTTGACTCTTCAACATTTTCAATTTCGATCTTCGAGTTGGCTTGAAATTCAACTATTCGGATTTAGAAATTTTAAATTAAACCAATGTTAACGGGAAGAGGGAATCATTCCCTCTTATATTTCAAAATCACAAAATCTATTTTAAAACTCATCTAAAATAATTTTCTAAAGAGGAACCATACCCCCTTAACAAAACAGTTAAAACAGTTTGATAGAATAAAATGCTATAGATCTAATCTAAAATAAGATTACGGATAAGAGAGAGTCACAAAATCAATTTTAAAACTTAACTTTAGCCTCCGTAACAAAACAGATTAAAACAATCTAACAGAATAAAATGCAATGATTCCCCATAATATTATAGTAAAATATTTTAATCGAACAAAATATAACAATATAGAAATTAAATCATTGTTATTGTAAGAAAGAATCATCAAAATCACAAAATCAATTTTAAACTTGTCTATAATATATTTTCCTTAGTGGAACGAATCAATTTTGAAACTCGCAATTGTCTCAGATTTCATAAAGCAAATAAAATAGTTTGGTAAAATAAAATACAGTTGAGTTCATTCCCTTTTTACATACCAATATCAAATTTCAAACTTATTTATAACACATATTTCGAAAGTGGAACAATACCTACTAAACAAGCAGATAACAGGATTTGATGAATGTAGAAATTATAATAATTGGGTTGTTACTAGAGAGTTGCTACCTCCAAGGTAAAGGTCACACTTAAAGGTCAAGTTTTTAGTGTCTACATTTTGTGTCACTCCATTACTTTTAAATCGCTGAAATTATTTAAAAATAATTTGGCACAAGTGATCACCATTTTAAGACGATGTGCAGAACACAATAATTGGGTTGCTTTCCCCTTCCCCAAATCAAGTTCACACTTAAAGGTCAAGTGTTAAAAAAATCTACATTTAGTTCCCGGTCCATAACTTTTAAACCGCTGACACATTTTTTAAATAACTTTGCACAAGTGATCGCCATTATGGATCAATGTGCAGAGCACAATAATTGGATTGCTAGCACAAAGTCCGATTCATGGTCACACTTAAAGGTCAAGTGTTAAAAAGTCTACATTTCGTTCCCGCTTCATAATATTTAAACCGCTGCAATTTTTTAAATATAACTAGGCAGAAATCATCACCATTATGACACCATGTGCAGAGCACAACAATCAAGTAACTACCTTCAAGATCAGGGTCACACTCAAAGGTCCAATATAAAAACATCTTTTTTTCATGTCTGCTTTATAACTTATTGACAATTCAAAGGTCTTAAAATTACTTGGCACAAATGATCCTCACCATGACATAATCTGCAGAGTACAACATCCAGGTTGCTACCACCAAGGTCAATATTAAATTTCTAACTTTATGGAAGATTTTAAATTACTTGGCACAAATAATTACTATCATGAGACTATATGCTTATGATATACATGACACAACATCAAGGTCATAGTTGGTTTCAGGTAAAAAGTACACATTCATGTATGTTGCGGAAGAGGATTTAGCTGTACTCCAGACTGTCTAGTTTATATTTGTAACAAGTCATTGGTATTTTGTATGCCGATATGCCAACAAACCTGAAACCGAAACTGCTATTCAGTCAGAACTATTTTTACTTTGCTCCTAAACATGATGAATGGTTTTGTCTACTTTGAAAGAATGATGGGCACGTTCATTTTATATATCAAGCGTTGCGAGTGGTTGGCATTGCAGATAAATGCTTAAAAGAGCAATTATCTTATTGCCATACTAAACATTAAATAGGAGAATAAAAGAAAGTATATTGATAAAGGCAAATGTTACACAGTGACTTGCATCAATTGATACATAACACATATAGTTTTATCTTGTCATAGATTGAAAACCAGCGTTCTTAATTGGATTCTTCGTTGGATTTTGTTGAACCTATGTAAAAAGCAGGGCAGTCGAGATAAATTTGTTAATCAATTTGCTATCAAACTCACCAGCTTTGTGTTATTGGTTTGTCTGAATTAATTATACTTAATGATACTAACCATGTGCTAAATCAAATGTTTCAATGTTTCGTTATTCTTAAATAGCGTTAGTTTCGTTCTTTTATCATTTGGTCCTTATTTCCTTATCTGCCCTCAAGTAAGGTCAAGTCGTAATAAGTTGTAATACCTTTCTGACTTTGAAGGTCAAATGTTAAAAAATTGGAGCAACAATAAAAAAATGGTTTAATACTTGCGATGATTTTTCATTCAAATTTATTTATTTAAACGTACAAATACATTCTTAAAAAGCAAACGATTTATTTGCAAATATATTTTTCATTTTTTTATTTATATTTTATTGTAGAGTATTAAATTTTATTTTTCTTGAATGCTTTTGGTTTATAAAATGTATTTTACTAACTAATCTGTAAATTTATGAAATTTTAGGCACCATTACACAATTAAGTAATGATTTTTTATCAGTTGATTCTGATTTTTAATAATAATAACAATAATAATGATAAAACAATAATTAATCATAATAAAAAAAAATAGATTTTGATACATTAAAGTTAAGGCCGCCCAAGTTAGTTTCCTTGCCTGAAAAGGTATTAAAACTTAATTTGTGTAACTTTGATTTTAGAACTGTGCATCGTTGATAAAAAAGATAAACATAGTGAACTTGAAGTTCTGTTAAGTCTGGTATTTTAAATGCGGCATAATGCTGGTGGTCACTTTTAACTCTCTTTACAATGTATCAAAGTTATTTCCATTTTTGTTTAGATATATTTCTAGATGATTTGAACCGCAACTTCCGGGTTTGACACCAAATGTTGTTCAATTACCTTTTATCAATGACTTCTATCAACCAAAGTGTAACAATAAACCTGACCTTAGATTTCTTCACGACTTTGTCTAAATAAAGATACATATTGCTTTATCATTACAACGATGTACTAAAGATAATTGTTTACTGTTTCACTGCTTGTTGAACAGAACAGTCAAAGGTATTTATTATCTTTTCTTAAAAATATTCATAAGCACCGGTATGCCAATAACTAAAATGAAACGCATTGCTTTCCTTTAATAAAATGAATTTCTTTCAACATATATTACATTTAAACATTTTAAGTCATACATTGTTATGTTAATCAATGTGTAAAATAGGTCAAACATAGCTACTTATACTAACGACTGTCAAATCTTATATTATTTAAGCATTAATATTATTTTTGTTACATTTTGATCAATTAGAATGATGTACGGATTGCTTGGTGTTCTCCTTGTAGTAACAACAGTCTCTACGGGTACGTCAATTTTTCATGTCGTATATATTTGTGATCCTTGTTTTAAAAAGTCATATGCTCCATCTTCCGCAGACCAAAGTTTGGGTTTAAAGACTTTTGTCATATTCACTCTGTTTTTCGAGACTCAAACTTTTTTCTTATTTTACTTTGAGAATTAACATCAAATCATTAGTAAAAGAATAATTCATTCAATAATGTGCTACATTACAATAAATTTACATGTAATGACAAGACAGCTAATAAAGCAGATGATGATTTCTTTGTATAAATTTCAATGGATAAGGACTGTTGGATCTTCCCTTGATTATTTCTGAATTAGATTTACTAATGAGATAAGATATGATATGAAGTTATTTGCTTTTCTTTAGCAATTGACCACATTTTTTTTGTTATAAAAAGTCTTCAGTAAACGTTCAAGGATGTGTTACATCGCCATGCACATCGTTATTTAGTCCTTGTAACATAATTGTTTCTTCTACAATATTTTCAAATTGTTAAGCTTTGTGTTTAATGCTGAAATATATGCAATTCGTATTGTTTTAGTTGTATAGTCATTTCTTAAATTCAAAAATATAATTTATCTTAATAGTTACAAAAATTGGACACATTTCCTTCTTTTTTCAGCTATAACTTGTTATTATTGCCCCAAATAACTACTAGTGTCTAGTTGCATTATGGCAGCCTCTATTAAAACTTTTGCTTTTGTATGTTTCATTTAATCTATATTTCATTTTTAAATTAGACGAAATCAGCATTTTTTCATGTTCCTTTTTTGGACCTTTAGATTATATAATGAATTTGTATAATGTTCTTTTCACAACCCGATGACTTCTTACTAATAATTAATTTTGCTGCTCTTATTATCATCATCATCATTGTTATTCTATTATTACCGGTTAAAACTTTGATAAAACTACTGCAAGATAACATATTGATAATACTAAGGTCGAGACGCTCTACAAATTGTAGTTAAACTATACATGTATTGTGTTTAATTTGAAATAGACATGATGGTGTTACTTCTTATCAACTAGTTGTTACTTTTTAACTGTGATAAGCCTGTCCCCATCAATTTACCCATATAAGTCGCGTCATGACAAAACCAACATAGTGCGTTTGCGACCAGCATGGATCCAGACCAGCCTGTGCATCCGCGCAATCTGATCAGGATCCATGCTGTTCGCTTACCAACTCTATTACAAGTAGAGAAACTGACAGCGAACAGCATGGATCCTGATCAGACTACGCGGATGCGCAGGCTGGTCTGGATCCATGCTGGTCGCAAACACACTATGTTGGTTTTGTCGTGACGTGGCTCATATTACAATAAACCAAATGAGTCTTGTTATTATATGTTTGTAATCTGATACTAATATAAGTATTTGTTGTTGTTGCAATGATTATAATTGACTATTATTTTTGTAGCAGGTAGTTGCAATGTGGGCACTATACCTCTCCATAAAGGTTCCGTCATGGCAACATCGTCGGATTCCTATTACGAGGAAGGGGATATATTAAATAGAAACTGCTCTGGTATGTTTCAAATTCTTTCTTATTTCTTTAAAACACCTACAATCCTAGACTTTATTACAACTTGGGAAAATGCTTTTATCGCCTGGCTCATTAAATGTTGTGAGATATTTTAATAAACATGCATGTGAACTTTGGTTGTATATCCATTTTAAATTTTAATAATGGCTCTTAATTTAAATTGTTTGCTCAAATCTTTTATTGGCAGTAACGGTAGGTCTCACATATGTAAACCTCTATTAAAGATATGTGAACTATTGCAAATTAGGACGAAATTTATAATACAATATCACATCATTATAGGAACTTTAAAGCAACAGCTGTTCCCACTTGATAAGATTTGACCTTTACTTTCACAAAGTATTCTTTAATTTTGTTTCCGCGAGATAAATTTGCCTGTATAGAGATGACTTGTACCAATCTTAATTTTAATCGTTTGACCTGATTATAAACTATAGCTGGCTTATCTTTATTAATCATATAGTACATTAATCTAGAAATTTAATAGAATTGACCATCCCATATGCAAAACACTATACATCCTAAACGAAGTGGTTAGCAAGACACTCTCAACACACAGAGTATAATTATACCTTTAAAGCTGCACGCCTCCAGATCAGCCAAACTATTTCAGGAAAATCAATATTGAGAAAAATGTACTGTATCAAGACCTCTTTCATGTTATAAAGCATTAATTTATTAATAGATAGAAAACTAGGAAAAAAGTTTAAGATCCAGGTTACATTTTACATGTTATGTGCAATTTCCGACTGATTTTGCGGTATTTTATGACCATATTGCTACTGCGTTACTAACGCAGTTAGGGCTGTTTTTGCATATGTGGACCACATTTTTGTAATTTTCTTTGATTGAAAGTGCCGCTTGCAATATGTAAAATTTGTTCACCATTTAACCCATTACTTCATGAGCATTTTGTGAAAAATGGCTGTTTTCATTGAAAAGTCTCCCGTTACAAGTTCAAATTGCTATAATACTATAAAAACTGCTTCAACACTAATCAAACTTGGCACAAATGTTGACTGGACCATTGCCCTTGCAACAACATGATCAGGCTTAAATTTTCTGTTACCATGGCAACGAGGGGACATCTCAAAATTGCCAAAAATCACTATTTTGCGTTGATTTTTTCCATCAAAATTGATTTCAAAGTGCTGCAACTTCTCAATGGATTGAGATAGAGTCAAATGCTTTTCAACGTTGGTTACATGTTACCTTATGATCAATCTGGGGTCATTTACAGCCTCTCACAAGTCCAAAATTTTCTTGGCGATGAGGGGGGCTCCGCCCCCCCTTCAAACCCCCCCCCCAAACAGAAGGGGGCACATCCCCCTTCTGGCAACCCCCTGATGTATCTTTTGGTTGGGGGACCGCGCCGAAAAAGAGGTCACTTTTTTTAACAACATTTCTCAAACAAAAACAAGTGCTTGGGGCCTAAATAAGGCATTTTTCATCATTTGAGACAACAAAAAAGGGGGGGGGGGTGAAAAAGGCGTTAAAAGGCGTGTATATGAAGTAATGGGTTAAATTAATTTCATGAAAATTAACATGAATCTGGAGGTGTGCTGCTTTAAATACCAAAATTCTAATGATAAAATAATAAAACTTCCACTGTAAGCGGCATAAGTGTTGAAATAAACACATGTATAATAACACTTATTGAAATAAAACAAATTTTGTATTATAGCACTTCCGAGGCAGAAATATATAGGATGGTGCCCGAATCCTCATGACGTGGGTCCTAAGATTCAGATCAACTTACCAGGAGAGACAGCTGTTCACGAATTAGTGTTCCAGTCAACCTTGGCGTCTTGTCCTTCGGCAACGCACAACTTTGCTACAGATGCTTTCCTTGAGACCTTTGACTTACAATATGTCTTACCTGGAGATAATACGAACACACTGATGATGTTCGGCGAGGTGAAAAATTGATAGATGTTAACATATATGTTAACATATAATGTATTTAATGGCGTTTTTTCCAGGATATGTTAACATTCTGAATGTAAATGTTAGCATATTATTACATTATAGCGTTTAGCGTGGATATTTTATTAGTTTTAGTGTAAATGTTAACATAATATGTATTAAATAGCGTTCTAACAGGATATTTTATAAGTTTGAGTGTAGATCGTGTTAACATTTTATGGAGTTTATAGCTTTTGTTCTTGGGTATTTCATTAGTTTAAGTATAGATGTTAACATTTTATGCATTTAATAGCGTTGTTCCTGGGTGCCTATTAGTTTGAGAGTGTTAACATTTTATGTATTTTATAGCGGTGTTACAGGATATTCTATTAGAGTGTGGGTGTTAACATTTTATGTATTCCATAGCGTTGTATACAAGTTATAAAAAAATATATGTGCACTGTTTTTGGTAGTTGGTAAAAACTGATGTTGGTACATTTTATTCAATATATTTTTTCATATTTTATTGGCGCGTGATACGTTTGTAACCATTGTATGCAGTGTTCAATTGAAATTAAATCTCATGTAATTTATAATTCATCTAAATTTTCTAATTACTGTTATGTTTCTTTACAAAACGGTCTTGTTTATAAATTCACATGACATTATATAGAACAGTTTGACCAAATCATTTAATACTATAAGTTAATCATGCAATAACTATTTCAATTCTTTCAAACTCACCACAAAAAATCAACTCATTAAATTGTTGTTTCTTTTGCTTTTGTTGTTGTAGAGCTTGCCCGCCTTAGACGGAATGTCGGCAGAGAAGTCATTCAAGTTTGACCCACCTTTGGTGACCAGGATTCTGACGCTTACGCCGAAAACACACAACATTTACCCATGTTTTAGATTTGCCGTGGTCGGATGCTCTGCAGCCAGTACGATTGAAAATTTGTTCATGAAGTTTTAACTACCAGAGTAAAATGCAATGAAGACTCAGAACTATTGAGTATTTAGGACTACAATTAGCGTTTTGAGAAATAATATGTCTAAAATAAACTTATCATTGCTCTGTTCAGTAATGGCGTCCTAAATAAATTAGTTTTTCGATTTTAATCATAAATTCAGTAATTCATTAAGCTGATACAAAATCGTGTTGCAACATCTTATTTCATCCTCATAAAGTTTTGACAAAGCTGCATTACACTCTGCAGTGTATAGCTTTTATAGTACAAACAGCAAAAGAATATAATACCATGATGATAATGCACCATGCAGTTAACAAATTGTTAACCCTGCGGTGAACTATTCACATACTTATAAATATACAAAAGAACATGTCACGTCTTTTTGAAATAAAGTAAATGGAAATGAAATAAATTGGCAAATCAATATCTAGAATTATATAACCATTTGAAATCAATGAATTACTTTCTCTTGAACAACCATTTTGGCATTTAATCTCGTTTTTGAATTGAATACCTAATACCATATTATCGTCCGGAACATTATACTTAAATTTTAACCCAAATTGCCAGTGCCATGTAATAATCTTTTAGGCGAATAGAACTAAAATAATTGTTTATAGTACAATAACATCAAAGTATAACAATCCGGCTGTATTGATCATGATTATTTACTAGTAACATATACATTTTTTTTATAGATTTATGTCAACCAGGATTTTGTATGAATGGGGGAAAATGTGCTGGAGAAAATTATTGCGCATGCGCACAAGGTTTTGCTGGAGACCGTTGCGATATGACAGGTGTGAAAGTTAGAACTAAGCATTATGCAGCAACTTTATTATTTTCTATGTATTAATAAATAAATGCTTTATAACATGAACGAGGTCTTGATATTTTGCAAAAAACTATCGCTTTAATGAAATTTTGTCGTTGAAGAAGTAAGCTTTACTGCAACATGTTTAGATCACAAGCAATGCTTTGTAAAAATCATGACATGTCCATAAAAATCTGAAATTGTCTGATATTATGATACAATGGTTATGAACCTTGTAATTTTAAATTAATTTGGCTATATGTAGTTACGTAAGTTGTGTTATCCTTAATATTTACAAAAGACGGTAATATAGTTGTACTTTTAAATATGCATACCTTTTAAGAATGCATGAATTCTATAAATGAAAACGCGTTTTCTACATTTTTCTAGCTAAAGACATCAAACAGCAAGATTATAGCTTCACAGATATTACAAACCACAAACTCAATACTCCATATGCTCAATTTGACGTGGTTGGTGACGTCACATTATCACAGGACCGTCGACGTGATCATCACCATGGACACTCCTGTCATTTCCATAGTCATCATGGGCACCATAGTTACTGCCAATACAGTCATAGTAACAGCCACCACGACAATGGACATCACCATGGACAAAGCCATTGTATGCATGGATTAACGAATAATCACCATGGGTTTACAACATCAATGCATGTTCAGAACGGACATAATCATAATGGCCACCATTATATTTATTCCAATGGAGGACATCTGTACGGACACCATGGGTCATCATTGAGTTATAACAGTGTACACAATTCACTTCACTTCCATGTTAGTACTACAACACACAAATGGGAGGTTAATATAAAAGTTGACTTGGGGACACAGCAACACCATGTTTCAACATCATGGCATCCTCACACTGGTGCTCATATACATTTGAACAATCATCTCGTCGGGTCGTGTGGGAATCCAAAACCCCACAGCACACCCCATACAAGTACAGTTCCTCTCCGGCTGGGAAACGGTCACATTGCCGTAAATTTGGATATCAACGTTATTTTGAATATGTCAATATCTAATTTAAACATGTATCCGGCACCAAAACCATCTTTAACTAAACTTGGAATTACAGGTAAAAATATCAGTTGAATAAAATATTTGTGTCTTTGAGTCTTTGTGTATATGCTGCATACGTTAGTTCATTCTTTAAAAGCTTTGTCTTTATACAGTATTTGGTCACTTCTTTTTCTAAAACCTTAATTTTTGAGGCGCATTTCTCTGAAAACAACTCAGCGGATGCTTACATATCTTTTTTATGATTTGTATATATGTTTATATGAGCCGCGTCATGACAAAACCAACATAATGGGTTTGCGACCAGCATGGATCAAGACCAGCCTGCGCAACCGCGCAGTCTGATCAGGATCCCTGCTGTTCGCTTACAAACCCTATTACAAGTAGAGAAACTGATAGCGAACAGCATGGATCCTGATCAGACTGCGCGGATGACTGGTCTGGATCCATGTTGGTAGCAAACCCACTATGTTGGTTTTGTCATGACGCGGCTCAATTATTTTGTGGCAGGACCATTAACACCCGCACCACCGACCGCTCTACCTCAGCAACCAACAACCACTGCACCAGTATCGGCAACTTCTACACACGGGACTCAACCAACTCCGCGTAAGAATCATGATTGTTGTTGATTTTTATTACCCCAAAAGTACTTTCGATCGTTTGATGAAATAGAATGTCTGTACACATCTGTCCTGGCCAACATTAAATTGTTCAGTAGCTTCATTCTGTGAATAATCTTTTTAATTTTGACTGGTTTGTGTGCGGAAAATGTCGCATACAAACAAATAAAAAATGTAAACCAAACCTGTTGGTACAGCTGTTACCAACATCCGCTCAATTACCAGGTTACTTTTAGGTCCAATTTATGATTGATTTTTAGGTCATTAGGTAAAAAATTAGTTTCTAATTGTAATATACTTGTTTGAGCAATAACCCGGTCGTTTTTGAAACTACAACTGGCAAAGACCATGGTAAATAGAGAAGCCCTTTTGGATTTGGCTTAATAATGTCAACGGTTAAGGTCAAAGTGACACTTGTGTAAAATTGTTGACCAATCAATAACTTTTTCTTGTTGTTTTCATGAAATTATTACTTGATTTGGTCATATTACATTTTATAATTGTACATCTCAACAACAGACTCCTGAAGCTCATCTTTTTTTTTCGTGAATATAATCGGCTAAAGGACCATGTACCTTATCTTTGACCTTTTTCTTTACCACGTTTAATATCTTAAAATGACTTTTTCATCCAGAAACATTTCATCATTTTAGAGAACATTTCAAAATATGCACTAGCCTAAATATTTTAAATGGACCTGTAAATCGTGGAATCTGTGAAAATTCAAAATATGCACTGATTGAATAGCGAACAGTGCTGCAGCCGAGGTATATATCTAGGGAGATATAAGACATTTTCTCAAAGAATTTAAATTAATTTCAGAGAGACTAACTGTACACGTGACACAGGCACCCGTAACTACACCATCTACACCTAGCACTACAGGTAACACATAGTTTCGTTTTCTCTAAAAACAAAAGTGAGAACTATACCATTAACAGGTTGATGCACATGTTAGTAAGTAAGTCACAATAATATACTTTTACCACTAGAGAAGGAGACAAAGAGGTATGAACAAGGCAGGAAAGTAATAAACAACATAAGTTTGATCAAATTGAGCAACAAATCATATAAGTTAATAGAAAATGATTATTATATATATTTGAACACTTATGATTTAGGATATTTGTATTTTCATAGTAATTATCGTCCGCCCGCTTACCTCAAGAGGGAGAGCATCTCGCCGGTAGGTTAGCTCAGCTTCTTTTTATAAATTCATGGTAGGCTAGGGTGCGTTATGGAAACGAAATTAATCGGGAAAATGAATAACTCTGTAATAAGTAAATATGTTTATTAAATACTAATTTATAAATGATATATGAATATTAAATTCAGTATATATCATGTACTGCAAAAGCGATGTCTATCGTTATGCAGATAACATATATATACTTATTTACAAAATAATAGAGAAGATGTATAGTATAAAGTAAGTGATAATTAGTAAAAATTGTTTTACGGTTTACGTCTGTATATAACTTATTTTTATAGGCATATATTAATGGAAAATTTCATTCTGGGACTTTATAAAGGAATATACGAATAATAACACTTTCTTTAACGAAAAATTTATGTTTAATATTGACTATATTTTACACATATGAATATTACTCTCCTCTTTAAAAATGTTGTCCTCAACATTATCTTAGTAATTTTGATACAGTTTGATAAATTATATTTGATAAATATATACATTTCATTTACATGAAAACAAATAGTTTGTATCGAGTTGAAACAATATTAATCAACGACATTGTTATTTTTGAATTTAAAATGACGTACGTATAATTGATTATACAGCTTAAATGCGTTAATTTCAAATTATTATACAACATCGCCATTCATTAGTGTTCATCCACTTAAGTTTCAGTCTGCGTCTAAATGGTCTTGTAGAATGAGCAGTGCTTGTAGAGTGTCCAATGTCTTTACTTTAGTCGTTTTTCATCAGGTCTTTGAGCTGAGATCTTGTATTGCGGGACTCTGCAAGAAAAATAACTATCTGTATAGGAACTATCAGTATTTGAACTATATGCAACATCGCTATAATTTGATAAGTGTCTGTAGTGAAAACCAATATCTTCTTCTAAATCCTCCGAGCAATCAAATTATTTGCAATTCATTTGCAGAAATGCTCATGAAGTACAATAAAAGATTTCTATGGAGCATGCGAGTCTTTTTATATCTTGCACCATCTCTCGGGAATATCTTCGGTTGTCTAACAACAGTACTTGGGAAATGCTCCCACTTGTCTGCCTATTTCTGCTATACTCGTACATTCCTAACAAGAAAAGTATCACGAGGAACAAGTTCTATACTTCTAGCTTTCTGGTTATAACTATTTTTGGTCTTCTTTCCAGCATCTCAAGCGCATCTACGAGCTTCTTTACATAAGTCGTTAAGTCGTTCTCGCAATTTAGTGACATGTTCAGTATGTTTTGGCGCTGAAAGGTGGTCATTAGGCAATCCTTAAAAATGTGCCAATCGCCAACATAGGGTATATTCCAAACATGAGGAAGTACGGCGAATATCCGGTACTATTATGTCGGGTTACATTGTATGCGTGAACTAACTTTGGTAAATGAGCCGTCCAATCTAAGTTTTTGTGTTCTTGTAATGTACCAAGCATCTTTAATAACGTTATATTAAACCATTTTACCTGGCCGTTCCCAATCGCGTAGTAGGGCGTCGTCCTTGACTTAGAAATACCAGATATTTGGCAAAGTTCCTTAATTATGTTCGATTCAAAGGTAACTATGTATCCGAGTGGGAAATCCAAAGCGGAAGAAGAATGGGTCATGGAGAATTCAGGCAGTTGTCTTAGCCGTCTGATTTCTTGTAGGATATGCTTTAGCGAATCGGCAGAAATGGTCAGTCATAACCAATATGTTTTCATATTCCCCACTAGATCGTTCTAGAGATAAATAGTCAAAATAGACGACCTTCATTGGTGCTATTGTAGATAAAGGTATAAGTTTTTCAAAACTGGTCTTGGCTTTTCTTCGAAACCAACGATGGCAATTTTTCAATTTTGAAATCACAAACGAGTCCAAACCTACTCTAAAAACCGTTATCTAAAATGTAATAAAGTCCTAATACGACCTTGATGACCTTAATCGTCGTCAAATGCCTTATATATCTCATCACGCAGGTTACTTGGAACAACCAATTGAAGCCTTTCTTGACCAGACACAATGCCTTTCAATGCCAATTGTTTTGTAATCAAATAGCCACTGGTTCGGTCCTCAAACGAGGCGTAATTTCTCCGTGACAATTTGACCCGGTCATTGACTATAATGGTCATTTGTCTCACACTGCTGACTCAGATATCATGTGTGATTAGTAGTCGGTAACTTTCTGAGAAATTGGTAATTACTAGTGAGATATCCATGAAAGCCAGTTTGATTTCTTTTGAACATAATATGAGTGTTATATGAACTTATAATACTGCCTATTATCATTACCATTCGTGTCATTAATATTTCGTATGCACATGTCTGCTGCAAGGTTAAAAAGAAACAAAAACTTTTTTGCAATGTTATAACTTCGTTATGAAGAATTTTGACATCGTTTATGATCGGGCAAGACATTTTTGCATGTAGTTATGTACAGATTCATCAAACCACAATTTTCATATAATTTTGTTGTGATAAATTCTTCCGAGACATCACTTTGTTTCCAAAGAACTAACATTCTAAAAATGATAACATTAAAAAAGATCGTCTAATGACTTTTCAAATCATGACCATAAAACTATTATCAAAATTCATATTTCAGTTGACCAAAGGCCAGTTTGTTATACATATGCAAACGAGACTAGCATCGGAGGATCTCAGTCCCATACAAGATGTCAGACAGGGGAGGTAATAAGTGTTTAATATCTTTTAAATTTAGAAACAGTCCATAAACATGTTAAGGAATATCAAAATGAATGTTAGTCAGTAAAATTTAAAGATACTGGTCAGATGGTATGGATGTACAAGCTGGTCTGGCCCTCCACTAATGGCAGGGCTAAGCACTTTTATAACAACTTTAACATTTTTATGCATGTTTCAGTTACGGTTATATATCATTAAAAGTGCATAATTATGTTAATGTACTTGCAATTGTTGTTATTCAGATTAAGTAAACAAACTTCAATAGTAAGAAAAAAGTTCATTCTTTCAATAAACATGTGAATAACAATTAATTGTATATTGGTACTATAATAATTTCCAATACAGCCGGAACTAACAATATCCGCAATATGTAGCATAATGTTTGTTCGCCAATATGGTAAATATTCCAGTGGAGAGGGTAAACATACCTGAACAAACAAAAGTAGTTCCACTCATGCTCGCTCCATACATATGGTAATTATTCCGGTGGCGAGGGTAAACAATCCTAAACACGCTCATCATATTTCAATTTATTCCCCAGGTTTGTTCGTTGTATGAAGATGGCAACAAGAAATACACTGCTAAATGTTTAGAGAAAAGTGTGAGTATACTTACTAACCTCTGGAGTCACATACAGTGTTATCTTTCATTATCTCAATGTGTATAAAGCACATAAAGCAAGTTAGATAAGTACTGTTAAAGAACTGGGTCATATAGACATGTCATGAAGGATACCAAGATTCTTTATCCGTACTTATCCGTAAATGATAGACAACTAGATTCTTGATTATTGACTATCTTCCGCATTTATAATGACTTTCAATTAAATACTTAATTTATAACTACCAAAAATGTTAAACAGTGGATGATTTATTCCTTGATTCTTAATTTACCAAACGTGTCAAACAGGTGAATTAAGTGGATGTCTAGTACCAGTAAGTAACTTGATTAATAGTTTTACCTACCGTGTTGAACGAGTTATGTTATTTCAGGTTGATCCAAAACAAAATAGCTGCCTACGGCATTAAACACTAGATTTATATCCGGTTCATAGATTAATAATATCTGTCATTGTTTTCGGTTCGGATCGGAATATCCGTCCCGAGGGTACCCCACCCATTGGGCAGTAACGAGCCTTCCCGAGGCTTTATTGCTTTCAAAATTGTGAAAGCTCGCCCATGATTTGCTGTTTGAAAGGTCACGAGAATGTGACCTCTTATTGGTGCCCGTCAGATCCTTATGCGTAGCGTCAATTAGAGCTGATTTTAATCAATTTTTATATGTGTAATAAAGCTTGCTAATGTATGAAATATATTTTGGTTTTGTTAACTTAAGTTCAACAACTTTAAATGTTATACGGTAATACAGTCGTGTGAAACCAGAAGGAGATTTGTCAATCTGGTACATGCATGAAGGGAGCTACCGTATCAAACATCTTTAAATGTATGAATGGAGTTTCTTTTCAATAAAAATATGGCCCAGGTTGCTTTGATTTTATACTATGTTGTGTCATTATACAGCTGTGTGAGGCTGGAAAGAGGTTTGCCACACCTGGTAAATGTTGGGAATGCTGTGACACCTACCTATGCAACGATAAATGCTCATGTAAGTGCAAAAAAGATTTAAATTTATCATTTAAACCTCTTATTATCTAAGTTTAAACTAAAAATTGATATATTCTTGCTCTTGCTCATTATAACTACATTATCTGCAAGTTAATATGATACTAAAGTTTAGGTTACTCCATATTAAATGCTTGGGGCTTTCATTTGATTTAAAGTGAAACCGATACTGTGAAGGTTACATTGCTACTTCTCAGTTGTACTGGTTGAATATGATCGCAGTTGTCCATTCTTACAGTAGTATTTCAGTCACGAGCGGTTATCTGAGTTAGACTACCTATATTAAGTAAGCTATGCTGATAGCATCCTAACGTTTAAACATCCAAAGCCCCTGAAGGGATTCGAATCTACAGCAGTGAGGAGTAAATGATCAAAAGTCTACAACCTTAATAATACGAATTTAATATTGATAACTACATGATCATTATATAAAAGGTAATATATTATGATGAAAATAATACACATCTACTCATAACTGGTTTACTATTGTCATAAAAAAGTGTTGGAGTTTTCAATTTTATTTTGCACATTTTACAAATCGTGTGTAGTAGTGCGATTTATCGCGTGCTTGCTTTGGGCTAACACTGCAACGATATGTCTCGGTGACACATAAATTATTTCGTCTCTTACGATTCGGATTTGCTGATATACTAGTAATGTATATATTTTAGGGAATTTTATTCTCTCTAACGACTCATCGACGTGGCCAATACGCGGAAAATAAGTAATTAAGAATGGAATGTTCTCTTTTCGTAATGTTTGAGTTTTTCACACAACAACTGTCAGGTCAATTTCAAGTTTTCGATCCAAACTTTAAAGTTTTTCTCGCTATAGATATTCATGATTGTCTTTAAAACAGAAGTTTAACCTCGATAAAATTAACGTTTAAAAGTTAACAAAATATTCAATTATTTTGTACTTATACCTTTAGCAAATACTTCTGGACCATGTGTTGACGAGGCTCAGTGCGCGGTCATGTTAAAGACCGGATATGACGTATGCAGCAACACACTAATGGCTGTTCAAATTTGTAGCAAAACGTGTAAGATATGCTGAAAAATTGGTATATTTGTTAATATTAAGGAATATCAATAAAGTTCAATGAAAATAACAGGATGTTTAATGTTTTGATCATATTACCAGGCGAATCGTGAGACTACGGTTTGTATAGTAGGGTACAAAATAGATAAAAGTATGTTTTCTTAAGTTTATTTTTTTTATAAAAGTATAATCATGACATTATCATTTTAATCAATGTGATGTTTTGCACAGTCAACTGAAAGTTCAACTTTCACTAGAATGTGTCCAAATATCACGGATACCCACACATGCCACTTTTTTGTCAGTCTACTGACGTTTTGCATAGTAGTCATGATAGACAGAGAAAGTTCTACATGAGCATAAAAATGAAATCCAATTTTTTAATATTGACATCTTAATTTGACCCAATATTGAGCTAAAGAATACCAAATCTTAATTTTGCTTTCTAGAGTTTGCTTAAAAGAAAAACCGTTGATGCACAACTACACATGATGACCAACATTTCTGTAACGTTTTATGACTTCAGGTTAAATGCATTTGAGTTACGCGCAACACAAGGTGTAAAATTTCACCCCTAAGTGGATGGGGCATAACAACAACATATGATCTTTCCAATGTTGACATATTGATTTTCCTTATATTAATTTCAAATCTCAATTTTACATCCTCAATTATGCTTCAAACAAACAAACAAACAAACAAACAAACAAACAAACAAACAAACAAACAAACAAAACTCCAAATGCACACTACACATTCTGACCAACATTCATGTAGAGTTTTATTAATAACCTTTTGAGTAACGCACACACGAGTTAAAATTACAAATTCTTTACTTAGTCTAGTACAATTACTTTACATATAATAAATAAGTTCACAAGCAAACATCTACATGTATTTGCATAACTACACAAGCTGGCCAACATTCCTGTAAAATATTTTTTACTCAAGCTCTTTTAGTGGTACACGTGACACAACATTTTGAAACGGTTTTACTAAGCCAAAGGCAATTAGTCAATTACTCTACAAAATCTTAGTAAAGATACAAGCAAACATCCATGTGCATAACTGCACAAGCTGACCAATATTTCTGTTAGGTTTCATGACTCTAGGTCAAATACTTGTTGGGCTACGCACGACACAAGTTGAAAATTGCAATGTCAGGGGCAAATGCACATCAAACCCCCAAGTACACAACAGTTCTTGCTGACCAACATTCCTTTAATGTTTCATGACTCAAGGTCAAATACTTTTTAAGCTTCGCCCAACACAAGTTGAAACTTGTATTTATTTTACTTAGTGAAGGGCAATAACTCTGCAAATACTGAACAAATTCACAAGCAAACCCACAGGTACATAACTTCACATGATGACCAACATTCCTGTAAAGTTTGTGGACTCTAGCCCGAGCACATTTAGAAGTGCATGTGGCATAATATTTTGGACAGTTTTTAAAGGGCAATAACAAATTATGTATGAATATAAAAGCAAAACGCTAGTTGTACAACTACAGATACTGACTGGCAAACATTTCTGTAAAGTGTTATGCCTCTAGGTCAAATACCATTTGGGCTTCGCGGAGCAAAAGTTGAAAATGCAAAACTTATTTTAATTTTAATTGAAATTACTCTACTGGATAAAATACACATGTACAAACAACCTCCCAGGTGCATGATTACACATGCTCACAAACATTTCTGTAAAGTTCATGACTCCTTGATAATCTACTCTCGACGCAAATTGAAAATTGCAAATTTTTACAAAGTCAAAGGCAACTAGAAATGTGTCCATAGGATACGTATGTCCCATACCTGTAACGTTTCAAAACTCTTGGTAATATATATAATCAGTTCATTAAAAATCAAACGCTTTTCTTAGCTTCCGAAATTGTGTCTTCTTCAGACAATATAGACGTTTATAAAATAACGAAGTTGTAAATTACAAATTTGCTTATAAGGTAATTTCTACTAAGCCAATAACTTAAATAAAATTAAATTAATCCTCGCGCAAACCTCTAGGTGCATAACTTCGCATGCTGATCAACAGTCCTGTAGAGCTCTTTAACTCTAGCACAAACACTTAGAGTAACATGTGATAGAACATTTCCGAACGGATTTTACTAAGTTTAGGGCAATGACTATACAAATTCTAAATATAAATATACACGTCAGGTGCATAACCACACATGCTAAATGAACCCGATAGAGTGTGGGTATAATAAGGCAAACAAAACTGAATTAATTCACATGCGAACCCCCTGGTGCACAACTGTACATGCTGATCAACAACTCTGTAAAGTTTGTTGACTCTCGCTCAAGCACTTGAATGGACGCACGCATGCACATACAAGGCCAAATCTTAATGCCCCCTTCCGTAATAAAGTTAAGAAAAAATATAATGTATTTTTAACAGACTCTGAATTTCGTATGTCTGCTTTTAATTAATTTGTCAAATTGTTGCTTATATCTATTTTCTGCCATAGTTTATTTTTAGTAATTTAGCACCTTAATTATCGACTGCGTTGATTTTAGATTTCTTTAGAACTTAATATTTTTAAATAGCATTGTGTGAACGATATTAAGGAGGAACTAAAATTCATTTAGTTGCAAAGATATCTGAATCAGAAAAATACAATAAATCAAAATATGCCTTTTTCTGGATTGGAACCAGGGTCTCTACACTAACGAAGTTAGGAGCATTTACGCTATTACACTGTGAAAATGCTGAATGGGTATACCTGAGTAATAATACTTCAGTTGAAAAAAGACATTTAAGCGGTACGTTATATGGTTTATAAAAGAATTGTCGACACCCCAATATGTCAATACTGATGTAAGAAAAAAGTACATGATAAAAGACAGGAAAACAAACACAAGGAATCGTGCATGCTGTTAAATGTCAAAGTACCGGTATGAAATGCGGAACACTAAAATGTTTGCATGATACTTGGCAGAAAAACAGTCATACTTTGTAGAAGAACACTGTCAAGTATTACTCTGCATGTCTGCGAAGTGACAACATGTTTTTAAATAGGAATGATAAAGGAACATATAGTTTTGTTTTTTTTTTAGGAGGAGGAGAGGTCAATAAGCAGATATTTTTTTTCTTCAGATAAATTAAGTTTTCCCTTCCCTTCCCCGAATCTCGTGCCCCCTTCCCCTGTACACTTTTACTTTGTGGGCCTATGTATCTTCAATTAATTGTTTTCTATGATTTCCTTTTACTGTACAGTTTCAATACAATTTGCATATCTTGTTAAGCATGAACAAAGTTATTATATGATCAAGATGTGCAAGTTGCAAAGACCTATAGCTAGCAATAGCAAAACATCTCACGAATTGCAAAATATACATTTCATCATTTATTGATTCAGTGTAGCATATGTTGTAGCTAGCTATCCTATTATTTTAAAACTTATATAAATACAATTATATAAAATATATCATTAAGTATTTTATTTCCAATACACAAATGCTTAAAGCAAACAATGCTAAATAAAAAAGTAATCATTTCTCCATTTTAATTAAAATCAATTTGGAGTATTTATAATGATCACATAGTGAAATATCACTGGACAAAATTACATATGTTGGTTATGTCAGACTAAAATAAAATATGGCAGTTGTAAAATGTTGTCCTGTACTTCATCTCAGTCTTGTCATATTTTACTTTGGAATCATTGATTCCATTTCTTTTATGTGTTGACGACTGAACATTGCTTTAACCGGTGATAGAGGCGTGAGAGACGCTGCATCTTTTCACTTTACATGTATCTTATAAACAGTAATCTTATTTTCAGCAACATAATGTAAAAAGTAAGTCAGCCTCTAAATATAGACATGAACTTTAAATTTGGACATAATCAAGGGCACATAAATATACGACTAAGATAACGATAATAACAGAAGCTTCTAGAAGTTAAAAGTCTGTTTTATAGAATATAAAAGGAGTCATTTTGTTTTATAGAATACTGACCGTAAATAATAATTCTATGGGGTCACTTTACTTCGTTACACGAGATAATGCTTGTAAGTAGCGGTTACTAATCAAGATTCTAAAAGTATAAGGAATATTATTTTAATTGGTGATCCTTCTGAAGTAATGAAAACAGCACTAAGATATTATAATTATAGATCTCGTTACTACCAAATGGAAGGTTTTCTCGGGACTGATATTCCGATCCGAACTGCAACATATATCAAATATTATTATTCTTACACATCAGACTGGTGTGTCCCTTATTTTTACCCAAGTTGCAATTTCATCTGGCGTTCATTCCATGTCGCCCTTCCTTGCTGATCTCGTTTTATATTTTTGACCCATTTGCTTTGCAATCAGATCATTGACTTGTTGCATAAAGCATAATTTTAAGTAAAGAAATTACTGGATATCCATGTATGATATGATTATTTATTAAGAATATGCATGCTAACGGGATATTAAAAAATTTCGCTTATAAAATATAGGCAAACCAGAAACCGTATAGGCATCCATCGTTGCAACGTTAAAAAGGCACCGGGCTAATATGACATGAAATTTAAAGAAATGAAACACTTTAAATATGAACAATATCCACTTGCTGTTTTTAATTAACACCTAAATTCCTCTTATATATACTACCGGTATGTAATGGACACGACCGTCCGCTTCAGTTAAAATTGGGAGAACACTGGATTTGCAATCTAAGGATCTTTCATTCGATCTTCGGCCGAGGCGAATTTCTCCGTGACAATTTTATCTGCAGCATTGGTGTATATTCTTTCATATCTCACCGTTGTAGGATTAGTAATTGGTTAATTGCGGACAAATTGGTAAACTAGGAAAGTAGTTTATGTGGATATGACCAAAATGTGGTAAAATCGGCGTTAAAACACTTTACAAAGCTACAAACATTTAAATAAATATTTATAAATTAGGTCATTAGGCCGAGTATGCTTAAAAAAAGCAATGTAAATGTTGCTAGATGTATTTAAACGTGAAATAAATCAAGGAAAAAAAAGCTAATACAATTGTAACACTATCGTTGTTAATCGATTTTACTTCTCTTTTGTTTTGTTGTTTTTTGTTTGT